ACCATGTTGACCAGGATGGTCTCGATCTCTTGACCTCGTGATCCACCCGCCTCGGCCTCCCAAAGTGCTGGGATTACAGGCTTGAGCCACCGCGCCCGGCCGCATCTTCTCATTTTAAAAGCCCCTTCTCATACACCATGACAGCAATTCCTAAGTCAATTCTTATAGGAACAAGTATAAGAAAACCCCCAAATAGAGCACATATGTCCCCTACAGAATTGACAGCTGCTTCCAGCTCAAGCCAACTGTTGCTCAGCAGGACTCTGGGCCTACTATTGCCCTTTGTTTTTTCCCAAGAGATGCCCTAAGGAGGTTAATAAGGTTGCCTGACCTTTTCACATTAGCAATTGATCCAAATATTTTTAAATGCTGGGCACTAAAAATGAAGGTCAGGGCCGGGCACGGTGGCTCACACCTGTAATCCCAGCATTTTGGGAGGCCAAGGCAGGCAGATCACTTCAGGACAGGAATTGCAGATCAGTCTGGCCAACATGGTGAATCCTTGCCTCTACTAAAAATACAAAAATTAGCCAGGGATGGTGGCACATGCCTGTAATCCCAGCTACTCAGGAGGCTGAGGCAGGAGGATCGCTGGAACCGGGAGGTGGAGGCTGCATCAGCCAAGATCGTGCACTGCACTGCAGCCTGCGTGACAGAGCAAAACTGTCTCAAAAAAAAAAAAAAAAGATTGGACGGGAATCAAGTATATGCCACAATATGGATGAAGCTCTAGAGTATTATGCTAACGGAAGGAAGCCAGTCACAAAAGGTCATATATATACATGATTCTATTTATATGAAATTTTTAGAACACGCGACTCGAAAGTGGACTAGTAGTTGCCTAGGACTATGGGGATGGTGACGTTAGCAGGTGTGGGGAATGACCGCTAAGGGGTACGGGGTTTCCTTTTGGGGCGATTAAAATGTTTTGAAACTAGAGAGAGGTAATGGTTGCACACCATTGCGAATGTACTAAATGCTACTAAACTATATGCTTTAAAGTGGTCAATTTTATGTTATATGAATTTTTATCTCAATTTTTTTAAACAAGGCAGGGTGCAATGGCTCACGCCTATCATCTCAGCACTTTCGGAGACCGAGGTGGGTGGATCACAAGGTCAGGAGTTTGAGACCAGCTGATCAACATGGTAAAACTCCATCTCTACTAAAAATACAAAAATTAGCCAGGCATGGTGGCACACACCTGTAATCCCAGCTACTCAGGAGGCTAAGGGAGGAGAATCACTTGAACCCAGGAGGCGGAGGGTGAAGTGAGCTGAGATCACACCATGGCACTCCAACCTGGGCGACAACATGAGACTCTGTCTCAAAAAAAGGAAAGAAAAAACAAAAAGGCCGGGTGCAGGGGCTCACGCCTGTAATCTCAGAACCTTGGGAGGCCGAGGAGGGTGGATCACCTGAGGTCACGAGTTTGAGACCAGCCTGGCCAACATGGTAAAACCCTATCTCTACCGAAAACACAAAAATTAGCCAGGCATGGTGGCAGGCACCTGTAATCCCAGCTACTCAGGAGGCTGAGACAGGAAATCACTTGAACCCGGGAAGCAGAGGTTGCAGAGTGAGCCGAGATCGCGCCACTGCACTCCAGCCTGGGCGACAGAACAAGACTCATCCCCCACCAATAAAAGATTAACACATCCCCTTAGGCTATCAAATCTTACCATCTCTGGGACAGAACATTAACCTTTGGTTCACATGTTTGACAAATTCTGCGGGACAAATGTCACAGGTTCCGCTGGAATTCAGGGAGTACATCCGTGGACAGACACCTGTGGTTGATGGCCACTCCATGCCAATCACCCATATCACAAAGGGTCTCTCTGGAGGTCCCAGGAAAACAGCAGGGACTCGGTAGAGAGCTTATGAATGAATAAAATGGTATCTCTGATGACACTGGGTGGTGGTGGGTGGGGAACAGAGAGGAAGGTACAGACAGCGGAAAGACAGAGCTCCCTGGAGGATCTGGCTGAGAGGCAGAAAACGTCTCTCAGCCTTCTCGGACAGAGAAGAATTGATGGAATAGCTACTATGCCAAGCAGGTAGCAGGAAAGTCCAACGGGAAAGGCAAAAGGGAAAAACACAACATTTCAGCGCTGACACGGGCCTGATTCATGCACAGAGAGTGTGGTAAAAGAACACCAAAGAATCCAATCATGTGGCAAGATGCTCAGTCGCATAGTGAGAGAACTGCAAATTCAAACTACAGTGAGGCAGCCTGGTGGTTCCCCAGAAACTTAAACATGGAGTTACCATATAACCAACAACTCCTCTCCTAGGTATAGACCCAAAAGAATTGAAAGCAGGGACTCAAACAGATACTTGTACACCAGTGTTCACAGCAACATCATTCATAATAGCCAAAAGGTGGAAATAACCAAGTGCCCATCAACAGACGATGAATAAACAAAATGTGGCAGAACCACACAACAGAATGCTATACAGCCACAAAAGGAAGAAAACTGACTCACGCTACAACACAGACAAACCGTGAAGACATACGCTAAGTGAAACAAGCCAGATACTAAAAAACAAGTATGGTAAGATTTCAGTTACATAAAGAATCTAGAATAGTCTGATTCAGGCCAGGTACGGTGGTTCACACCTGTAATCCCGACACCTTGGGAGGCCGAGGCGGGGGGATCACTTGAGGTCAGGAGTTCCAGACTAGCCTGGCCAACATGGTGAAACTTGATCTCTACTAAAAATACAAAAATTAGCTGGGCTTGGTGGTGGGCGCCTGTAATCCCAGCTACTCAGGAGGCTGAGGCAGGAGAATCACTGGAACCCAGGATGCAGAGGTTGCAGTGAGGCAAGATCATGTCACTGCACGCCAGTCTAGGGGACAGAGGGAGACTTCATCTCAAAAAAAAAAAGAGAGTGTGTGTGTGTGTGTGTGTGTGTGTGTGTGTTTTAGTAGAGACGGGGTTTCTCCATGTTGGTCACGCTAGTCTCAAACTCCTGACCTCAGGTGATCCACCCGCCTCGGCCTCCCAAAGTGTTGAGATTACAGGTGTGAGCCACCATGCCCGGGCAAAAAAAAAGAAATTTTAAAGGAAAGAAAATACCTGTAGCCAGGATAGGAGTTATGATAAGGCCTCATATGCTATGGGATCCGATGGGGCTGGAGGTCTTATCTCCTATTCCTCTATCCCCCACCCTCCTTACTGTATCTGAGAAAGAAACCATCAACTCTGTCCCTGTTTCAGCTTCTCTGTCAATGACAGAATACAACTCAAGTTCAATATTTCTGTGTGCCCCTAGCTGCTGCTACTTTACCTATCCTTTTCATGATCCTTATCTCCCAGAAGAGGAAACTCAGATCCTCTGAAGTTCAGCTTAAAGTAATCCTGTAAAGCATCCTGTAAAGTCGGTGCCATCTGATAGTCACAGGATTAGATGAACCAAGCACTCAGAATCACACCCGGCACGTGCTCAGAAACTGTTACCTCAACAATTACCTGCTGGATGCTGATATGGTTTGACTCTGTGTCCCCACCCAAGTCTCATCTTGAATTGTACTCCCATAATTCCCATGTGTTGTAGGAGGGACCTGGTGGGAGATCACTGAAACGTGGGGGCGGTTTCTCCCATACTGTTCTCATGGCAGTAAGTCTCACCAGATCTGATGGTTTTTAGCAGGGGTTTCCACTTTGGCATCTTCCCCATTCTGTCTGCCTGCTGCCTTCCATGTAAGACGGGACTTGCTCCGCCTTGCTTTCTGCCGTGATTGTGAGGCTTCCCCAGCTACGTGGAACTATAAGTCCAATTAAACCTCTTTCTGTTGTAAATCGCCCAGTCTCAGGTATGTCTTTATCAGCAGCACAAAAACAGACTAATCCAGTTGCCCATGGCCTGCTGTGGTAGATAGCCTATGCTCTGGAATGTTCCCATGAGGACTGATGTCCAGGCGAGGCAGCCTGCTCCTGGGTGTGTCCCTCAGCCCTGGCCGTGTGGCCTGCGTCCCCAAGGGCAGGCAGTCTCTCCCCCATCCTAGAGCTGCCTCTGATAGGGCTGCAAGGGTTCCTGAGAAGAAAATGAGGCCTGGCAGTGCCTGGGAAAGTCAATGA